CTCTGTGCCACACACACAGGCAGGGAGGGGCCACGTGTCCCTGGGCAGCACTTGTGGCAGCAGCTGCCTCTCCCTCCCTGCCTGGGGGTGTGTGAGGAGCTGTTCCTGCCAGCAGCCCCTCCCTGTGCCCAGCTCAGCTCCCTGCCAGTGCTGCCAGAGCCCATGGCCAGCCCAGGGCCCAGGGGCAGCGCTGCCTGGGCAGGGGCTGCAGAGCAGATCCCAGAGCCCCTGCGCTGGCTGGCAAGGGGCAGGGGTTGGCAGTGGATGTGCTTCCTGAGCAGGGCCCCTGCGAATGGCAGCAGGTGCAGCTGAAGCTGGGAGGAGCCCTGAGCCTGCAGCTGAAGGGCCCTGCCCAGCCCTGGCCTGCCAGGAGGGCTCCCTCCTTCCCCCCAGCACTTCTCCCTGCAGGGCCGTGGCAGCTCCTTGGGCGGGCTGAGAGCTGCCCCTGGCAGGCAGCAGAGTCCCTGGCCCAGCACACACAGCCCTGGAGGGCAGGACCCTGCTCTGCCCTGCAGGCACTGGGAGAGCCCTTCTGAAAAATCCTACAAGCTCTGGGATTTGGCAGCTTTAGGAGATCCCTTCAGGAAGGGAAGTTTCAGTGTCCTACAGCCAGAGAATTCTTCATTCAAATCCTGGGAAGGTTTCTCCTTCAGGGAGAGCTCAGTCCCCTCCCAGCCCAGGCTGCCTCTCATCTCTCTGCCTTCTCTCCTGTGCCCTGGGTGCTGCAGGCAGTGCCCTCAGCCCTGCTGGGCCGTGCAGAGGAGCTGCTCACCAGCAGAGCTCTCTTTTTTTTGGAAGCTGTTCTTTTTTGCCAGGAGCTCTCTGTGTGCCAGAAGCCTGGCCCAGCTCAGCAGCACAGCAACAGCCCCAGGCATTTCATCACCCTCGGGGCTTTGGGAATGAGTCCCTGAACATCAGACCCTGAGGAGAGTTGCAGAAACCTCTTGAGAAACCAAAGTGAGATTCCAACTGTAAAGTTTCTTGTAGTGTTAATGGGTCCCACTGAGGGATCCAACTGAGAAAAGGTCTTGTTAGAGCACAAACCTGGAAACTGTGATGACGGGTCAGAGAATCACAAAATCATCAAGGTTGGAAGAGACCTTCAAGATGTTTTGGTCCAACTGTCAACTAGCATCACCATAATCACCTCTAAACCATATCCCAAAGTGCCACATGCAGATGCCATCTGGACACTTCCAGAGACTCTACCACCTCCCTGGGTTACTTGGTCCAACGTCCGAACACTCCTTCAGTTGAAAAAGTTGTCTGTAATATGTAATCTTACCCTCATCAAAGGCAACTTAAGGCCATTCTTTCTTCCTTTCACTACAAGCTTGGTAGAAGAGACCAACGCCCACTTAACAAAAATCCTGTTTGGGATCTTTGTAGACAGTAATGCAAATTGTAGAGAGGTGCACTCTAAGGCTTCTCCTCTGCAGACTAAAGAACCCCAGTTCCCTCAGCTGCTCCTCATCAGACATGTTTTCCAGGCCCTTCCCCAGCTCCTTCCCTTCTCTGGACATGCTCCAGCCCCTCCAGGGCCTTTTTGCACTCAGGGGCCAGAACTGGACACAGCACTCGAGGTGGGGCGTCCACAGTGCCCAGCACAGAGGGACAATCATTGCCCTGGTCCTGCTGGCCACCCTGTTGTCCAGAAAGGCCAGGGTGCCCTTGGCCTTCTTGCCCCCCTGGGCACACTCTGGCTCATATCCAGTCACTGTCAAGCAGCACCCCCAAGTCCCTTCCTGCTGAGCAGCTCTCAAGCCCCTCTGCCCCCAGCCTGGAGCATTCCAGGGGCTTGTTGGGAACCAAGTGCAGGCCTTGACACTTGGCCTGATTGATGCAGCCTGTCCAGATCCCTCTGCAGAGCCTTCCTGTCCTGCAGCAGATCCACACTCACACCCAACTTCATGGGATCCAAGAATTTCCTGAGGGGGCACTCGATCCCCTCATCCAGATCACCAATAATGATGTTAAACAGGAGCAGCCCCAACCCTGAGCCCTTGGGAACCCCACTAGTGACCAGCCCCACCTGCATTTAGTTCCATCCCCCACCACTCCCTGGGCCATCAGCCAGTTTTTCCCCCAGCAAACAGTCCCCTCGTCCAGGCCATGAGCAGCCAGTTTGTGCAGGAGATGCTGTGGGAGATGGGCTCAAAGGCTTTGCTGAAGTCAGCACAGACACATCCCCAGCCTTTCCCTCAATTACTGGTGTTTTTTTTTTTGTCAGAGAAGGAGACCAGGTTGGTCAGGCAGGACCTGCCTTTCCCAACCCCACGCTGGCTGGGCCTGATCCCCTCTTTGTCCTGCCCGTGCCACGGGATGGCACTGAGGATGATCTGCTGCATGGACTTCCCCAGTGCTGAGGTCACTGTGACAGGCCAGGAGCTCCCCACATCCTCCTTCTTGGCCTGCTGGTGGATGGGCATCCCATTTGCTTGTTGCCAGTCAGCTGGGACTGCTGCAGTTCTGCAGCACTGCTGGGCCAGGAGTGAGAGTGGCTTGGCCAGCTCTTTCTGCAGCCCCTCAGTACTCTGGGGTTCATCCCCTCTGGGGCCAGGCACTCGTGG